ACCATTCATTATGATGTTAGGTGTTCCCTAGATGCCCTTTATCAGGTTGAGGAAGTTCCATTCTAATCATAGTTTATTGAGTATTGTTAGTCATGAAAAGGTGTTGGATTTTGTTAAATGCTTTTTCTGCATCTATTGAGATGATCAAGGTTTTTCTTTTTTAGTCTGCTGTAGTTATTTACTTAATTTTTGAATATTAAACCAATCTTGCATTCCTAGAATACACCTCACTTAGTCATGGTAAATTATCATTTTTCTATTTTGTTAGATTCAATTTGCTAAAATTATGTTGAGAATATTTGCATTGTCTGAGCATGTTGGCTCACACCTGTATTTCCAGTACTTTGGGAGGCTGAAGCAGGCGAACTGCTTGAGGCCAGGAATTCAAGACCAGCCTGGGCAACATAGCAAGACCTCATCTCAGCAAAACAATAAAAATTAACTGAATGTGGTGGCATGCCTGTGTCCCCAGCTACTCAGGAGGCTATGGTGGGAGGATCGCTTGAGCCCAGAAGTCCAAGGCTGCAGTGAGCTATTATCACACTACTGCACTCCAGCTTGAGTGACAGAGGGAGACTCTTGTCTCAAAAAAAATGCCTCCATATGTATGAGGATATTGGACTACAGTTTTCTTTTCTCATAATGTCTGTATTTGGTTTTGGTGTCAAAGTAATGCTTACTGACCTTAGAGAATGAGTTGAGAAGTACTGCCTCCTCTTTCAGTTAGTGGAAAAGTTTGTGTGGAGTTGTTATTTCTCCCCTAAATGTGTTGTAGAGTTTGTCAATAAAGCTGTCTGGGCCTGTAGTTTTCTTTGCAGGAAGATTTTTTTAAACTACCAATTCATTTTTTTTTTTAAGATACAGGGTTTATGCAGGTTATCTATTCTTGAGTGAGCTCTTGCAATTTGAGTCTTAAGGAATTTGTCTATTTTTATTGAAGTTGTTTATTGGCATGATATTGCTCATAATATTGTCTTACTATCCTTTTAATATCTAGGACCTGTAGAGACTTCTTTTTTTCATATAACAGGTTTATTGAAATATAATTCTCATACAATACAATATACTCATTTAGTGTACAATGCAGTGGTTCTTAATATATTCATAGTTTTATAACCATTACCACAATTCTTGAACATTTTTATTAAGCCAAAAAGAAATTCCATACTCATTAGCAGTCATTCCCCATTTCCCTCCAATTCCCACTCCCCCAGCCCTTAGCAACCACTAATCTATTTTCTGTCTCTATAGATTTTCGTATTCTGAATGTTTCATATAAATGGAATCACATAATTTATATTGTTTTATGATTGACTTCTCTCATTTAGCATAATGGAGTTTGGGGGGCTTTTTTAATGTAATTTTTAAAAGTATATATATTTTTTTCATAGAGACGGGTCTCACTATATTGTCCAGGCTGGTCTTAAACTCCTGGGCTCAAGTGATCCTCTTGCCTCAGCCTCCCAGAGTGCTGAGCTTACAGGCATGAGCCACTGTACCCAGCCCCAGCATAATGTTTTTAAAGTACATCCATGTCATAGTGTCTTTCAGTACTTCATTCCTGGCCAGGCACAGTGGCTGATGCCTGATGCCTGTAATCCCAACACTTTGGGAGGCCGAGGAAGGAGGATCACTTGAGCTCAGGAGTTTGAGACTATCCTGAGAAACAAAGGGAGACGCCGTTCTTTACCCCTCCCTCCCTGACACACACACACAATTAATAGGGCATAAAGGCACAAGCTTGTGGCCCCAGCTACTTGGGAGGCTGAGCGGGGAGGATCGCTTGAGCCTGGGAAGTTGAAGCTGCAGTGAGCCGTGATTGTGCCACCGCACACCAGCAGGGAACAGAGCAAGACTGTCTTAAAAAAAAAAAAAAAAAAAATTCATTATTTTCTATGGCTGAATAATATCTGTTTCATTTTATAGTTATACCACATTTTTTATCCATTTATTAGTTGATGTACATTAGGATTGTTTGCACTTTTGGGCCGTTATCAATAATGCTGATGTGAACATTTGTGTATAAGTTTTTTGTTTTTGTTTTGAGACAGAGTGTCACTCTGTTGCCCAGGCTGGAGTGCAGTGGGGTGATCTCAGCTCACTTCAATCTCTGCCTCCTGGGTTCAAGTGATTCTCCTGCCTCAGCCCCCTGAGTAGCTGGGATTACAGGTGCATACCACTATGCCTGGCTGATTTTTCTATTTTTAGTAGAGTCAGAGTTTCACCATGTTGGCCAGGCTGGTCTCAACTCCTGACCTCAGGTGATCCACCAGCCTTGGCCTCCCAAAGTGGGATTACAGCCATGAACCACCGTGCCCGACCTCATGTATAAGTTTTTATGTGATATATGTTTTAATTTCTCTTACGTGTATATCTAGGGGTAGAATTGCTGTGTCATATGCTAAGTATATGTTTAACCTTTTAATTTATTTATTTATTGAGACGGAGTCTCGCTCTGTCGCCCGGGCTGTAGTGCAGTGGCGTGATCTCAGCTCACTGCAACCTCTGCCTCTCAGGTTCAAGCAGTTCTCCGCTCAGCCTCCCAAGTAACTGAGATTACAGACACATGCAACTACGCCCGGCTAATTTTTTTGTATTTTTAATAGAGACAGGGTTTCACCATATTGGCCAGGCTGGTCTTGAACTCCTAACCTCGTGATCCGCCTGCCTCAGCTTCCCAAAGTGCTAGGATTACAAGCATGAGCCACTGCGACCGGCCTATGTTTAACCTTTTAAAGAACTACCAGACTTTCCCAAAACAGCAGCAACAGTTTACATTCCTGTCAGCAGGGGATGCATGTTCCTATTTCTCCACATCCTCACCAACTTGTTATTAACTTTTTTATTATAGCCATCCTCATGGGTGTGACAGTGATGTCTCTCTTGTTCTTAATATTGGTAACTTGTGACTTCCCTCTTTTGTCTTTATCAGTCTAGTAGAAGTTTATTGATTTTATTGAACTTTTCAAAGAACCAACTGCTGGGTTAGTTTTCTCTCATTTTCTGCTATTTCATTGATTTCTGCTCTGGTCTTTGTTATTTCCTTTCTTCTGCTTATTTTGAGTCTTTTTTTTCTAATTTCTCAAGATGGAAACAAAGATCATTGATTGGAGACCTTTGCTGATGTAGGGGTTTTAATGCTGTACATTTCTTGCTATGTACTGCTGTACTAGATCTCACAAATTTTAATGAATCGTATTTCTCATTCAATTCAAAATGCTTTCTAATTTCCCTTTGATTTCTTCTCTGATTCATGGGTGATTTAGAAGTGTGTTATAAAATATTTGAGGATCTTCCAAATATTATTCTCTAATTGATTTCTAATTTAATTTCATGTGGTCTAAGAACATGTTTTGTATGATATGAATCTTTTAAATTATTGACCTGTTTTCTGTCCCAGATAGAATATGGTGATAAATGTCCTACATGTATGTGAGTAGAATATGTATTCTGCTCTTGTTGGCAGGAGTGTTCTATAAATGTCAATTACGTCAAATTGATTGATGGTATTTATTAGAGTTTCTGACTAATTTTATTAATTATTGAGAGAGGGGATCCACCTATTGTTGTGGATTTGTCCATTTCTTTTTTATTTCTATCAGTTTTGCTTTATGTATTTTGAAGCTCTGTCATTAGGTATATAAACATTTAGAATCATTATGTACCCCTTATTGAAATGATCCTGTTATCATTCTGAAATGTCCCTTTTAATACCTGGCAGTATTTTTGCTATGAAGTCTACTTTGTCTGGCATTAATATAGACATTCTGGCTTTCTTTTAATGATTAGTGTTAGCATAATATATTTTTCCACCCTTTTACTTTTATCCTATTTGTATATTTATTAAAGTGGGCTTTTCGTAAGGAATATATAGTTGGGTCTTGCATTTTTATCCAATCTAACAATCTCTGCCATTTTGTTGACATGTTTAGACCAAAGATCAGCAGTCTATAGCCCACAGGCCAAACCTAACCACTGCCTGCCTTTGGAAATAAAGTTTTATTGGAACACAGCCAAGTCCATTCATTTGTGTATTGTCTGTGGCTGCTGTCACACTCCAGTGGCAGAGTTTGCTCACCTATTATGCAGACCATTTACATTTCATGTGATTATTGATGTGGTTGGATTTTTTTTTATGTGGTTGGATTTTTTTTTTTTTTTTTTTTTTTTTTTGAGGTGAAGTCTCGCTCTGCCGCCCAGGTTGGAGTGCAATGGCCGGATCTCAGCTCACTGCAAGCTCCGCCTCCTGGGTTCACGCCATTCTCCGGCCTCAGCCTCCCGAGTAGCTGGGACTACAGGCGCCCGCCACCTCGCCCGGCTAGTTTTTTGTATTTTTAGTAGAGACGGGGTTTCACCGTGTTAGCCAGGATGGTCTCGATCTCCTGACCTCGTGATCCGCCCGTCTCGGCCTCCCAAAGTGCTGGGATTACAGGCTTGAGCCACCGCGCCCGGCATGTGGTTGGATTTTAAACTACTGTGTTGCTGTTTCTTTTCATTGGTCCCATCTGTTCTTTTCTCCCTTTTTCCTTTTTTTAAACTGCCATCTTGGGGATTAATTGGGTATTTTTCATTATTCCATTTGATATCGTTTGTTGACTTATTAGCTGTAACTCTTTTTTTATTATTATTTTAGTATTTGCTGTTAGAGCATTCAGAAAATAACCACAAGGAATGACCCTAGGATGTCTTGATTCTCTTAATCTGACTCAATCTACCAGAATGTTACCTTTCTGGCTCCTGATAAATTAAGGCATACTGCCATAGCTTTATTTCCCTTGACTGTTTACAGAAAAGAAAGATGGAGTAAATAGGGACTTTTGTTTGCCTATATATGAGTATCCAAAATAGATTTCCTATATATGATTTGGATTAAGAGTAGAACTGCATTTTTAGGAGCATTGACCTGTAAGATATAGTGATTAATTCATTAGTTTGAGTCACTTTTTGAAATAGTAAGTGATTGTTAAGATGCTCCAATGTAAAAATCTGCATCTTTGCAGGCTACCATCAATATTGTTTTTGATCGAGTTGGGAAAACGGATCCTGTCACAAGAGGCATTGAGATCACTGTGAATTATCTGGGAATCCAATTTGATGTAAGTGTTATATCAGGATTCAAGATCCTGGTTTGTCATGTTTCTTTCTCTTTTATCTGCTATAACTTATCATTGTTAAGATTCTAATTTGTATGCTTTAGGTACTTGCTTCTGCTTTTGTTCTTCCCATTCACCTCTGTATATTTTGACGTATTCATATGGAAAATTTTTATATTTTGATGTATTCACATGGAAAATTTGTAAAAGGCCAAGATTCTCTGTCTTAACATAAAGCCAGAAGTAATGACTGATACTTAATATTGTCATGGATGCTGATTATTTCTACAGCTGCTCCTCTGCTTCTCTATAGCCAGCTACCAGTTTAGCATTTTCTCCCCACCAAAGTATTCAAATACTTCCCTCTGTGATTCTTGATGAGCTCTTCAAACGTACAATTCACCTTTGATGCCCCAGTGGAAAATTAACTACTAATTAGTGTTCCATGTTAGAGCTGAAACGATTTCTGCTGTTAGAAATGATCTTTATCAATTAATGTGGACCTAGGGCTAAAGATGGTAACTGTCACCTCTGTACAAAGTTGTTTTTTTAAATTGGCTTTTTACTGTTTCATAATACCACTGTCATAAATACACCCTTGTCGTAATTGAATTTCAGTGTATTTATTCATAAACCAGAGCCAATGACTCAGGCTGAATAGCACTTTAATGGTAAGACCAATGTCATATAATAGTCCCAGTATAGGCCATTTAGCTGTGCTGTCAACCTAGCCACAGACTGCATGCTACCCCCAGCCATCCATCCCAGCCAGACATGCCCCTGATCTCAAAAGGACTTGGATAAAATGAAAATGCACCAGAGCAAACTGAGCCCCAATCCTTGAGAAACAGCTCAATGTACATGTTTCTTGATGCTAGATCAATTGTATATCCTCTTTGAGTGTGAAGGAGCATGGTATCTTTTATTCAAGTAGTATATAAATTATATTAAATATGCTTTACAGGCCAGGCACTACTGTGGCTCACATCTGTAGTCCCAGCACTTTGAGAGGCCGAGACAGATCACTTGAGTCCAGGAGTTCAAGACTAGCCTGGGCAACATGGTGAAACCCCATCTCTAGAAAAAATATAAAAATTAGTTGGATATGGTGGCATGCACCGGTAGTCCCAGCTACGCAGGAGGCTGAAGCAGGAGGATCACTTGAACCGGGGAGGCAGAAGTTGCAGTGAGCTGAGATAGTGCCACTGCACTCTATTCTGGGCAATAGAGTGAGACCCCTGTCTCAAAAAACAACAAAAAGTATGCTTTGCTATTGTTGCATTTGTGTTTTCTTAAGTGTTTTACTGGGCTGAGTTTTTAGCAATGCTTCTCCTTTTCTGTACTTTCTGAGGATACTTAGATGGTCATGTGTATATTCCATCTACAATTCATCTGTTTATGCCATATTTTGTAATTCTGAATAACAAATCTTTTAGATGTTAGTAATAGCAGCTCCCTTGCAGATACTTTTCAGAACTGAATCAAACACAGGGTCCCAAAACTCCTTCTCACTATGAAGCAATGCAGGAGGAGAAAAAGGTATCATGTGGTTCCAGTGAAATTCAGCTATTTCCTGGAATTTAGCTGAGAATGTCTATATATTCCTTTATTATAAAAAGAAAGATTCCTTGAAGTTTTGGTGGTTAGGGAACTATTATTCATAGACACTGAAAGTAATCAAGCTATTATTTACTTTCCTTTTAATTCCTGCTTTTCATTTATCACAGTAAAACTGTATCATTAGTTCTGTTTCTTCTGATTTATTAGTGTTATTTTTATCACTCCTCGGTACTTGCTGCCAGGCATGGTGACTCATGCTTGTAATACCAACACTTTGGGAGGCTGATATGGGAGTATTGCTTGAGCCCAGGAGTTTGAGACCAGCCTGGACTACATAGCAAGACCCTGGCTCTAAAAAAAAAAATTTTTTTAATTTTAAGGTTTAATTAAGTCTGCTAATTAAGATATCTACTGCAGTCTTTCTGTAGTTGTTTTATTTGCCACTTACTTGCTTTCCTCTCTCCCTTAAGAAAAAAAAATCAGGTAGGGTCTAATGAAGTTCCCTCTCACAGTCACGTAAATGATCAGGATATAGCTTTTACTTAGCCTTTACATCTCTCTGAACAGAGGTTTAGCAGCTGTTTTTTCTTCCTATCATGGTGGCAGGTGAAGTTTTGGTCCCAACACATTTCCTTCATTCTTGTTGGAATAATCATCGTTACATCCATCAGAGGACTGCTGATCACTCTTACCAAGGTGTGTTTTATCACAGTGTTAAAAAGTACTGCTTATCATTTGTTTAATTAAATGTGGTACCAGCTGGGTGTGGTGGCTCATGCCCATAATCCCAACACTTTGGGAGGCCGAGGTGGGCGGATCATGAGGTCAGGAGATGGAGACCATCCTGGCCAACATGGTGAAACCCCATCTTTACTAAAAATACAACAAATTAGCTGGGTGTGGTGGCACATGCCTGTGGTCCCAGTTACTTGGGCGGCTGAGACAGGAGAATCACTTGAACTTGGCGGGTGGGGACTGCAGTGAGCCAAGATCGCACCACTGCCCTCCAGCCTGGTGACACAGCAAGACTCCGTCTCAAAAAAAAAAAGTGGTACCATGAGATAATTTTACCTAATTAAGAATTCTGCTTCCTGAGACTTTAAACAGTCCCAAGGATTTAAAAGACATACAACCGAATTTTTAAAAAGTTAAACTACTACATAAATTGTTGGCAATATATTTACATCATATACCAATTATAGATAAGTACATTCACTAAAGGCAATAGAGAAAGATATGGTTCTGTTTTGTTCACTGATATGTTATCAGTATCTAGAACAGAACCTAGCACATGGTAGGCAGGTATTCAGCAGATATTTGAGACTGGAAGAATAATTGTGAGAATCACTTGTAGAGAAGATATGGAAGTAGGGGGACAGAATATAGCAAGTCCTCAATGTCATCAATAAGTTCTTGGAAACAGCGGCTTTAAGTAAAACTATATACCAAGTCCTCAAAAAAATGTTTCATTCAACATTTCATTATAATGCTGATGAGAAAAATGTAGTTTTGTTATACGTCATTTCACTTAAAATCTCAGTTTCCAAGATCCTATAAATGGCATTAAGTAAGGACCTACTGAATTCAACTATTTTCTAATCAATGTAGGAAGACTTCACGGAGGTGGAAAGTGAGTCCTCTCTGGTAGGAAAGGTAGGGATTTAAAATCCAGGAGCTTTTGAATGAAAGAAGAGGTTGGGACGGGAAGGGATCTACAGGCATCTAACTGAGTTTTAGACAGAGCACAGGAGCCTAGTAACAATTACAAACACTCTGAGTGGGCTGGAGTGATCTGACTTAATGTTTATAGTGATGTTAAGTCACATGTGTCACATAGTTTCTGAAGTGTGATAGCAATAGGAATCCTTTCATATGTTATGTAAAGAACTTACCTCCGGGGGAAACTGTAACTTTTTCTGCAGTCTATTTTAAGTCTCTTCTTTATAGGCTTAATCATATGAATTGTTCTATACAGGATTGTGGCATCAAAGAGACACTTTCAATCAAATGTTAACCATATTTCTTATTGTTCATGACACAGGAATCTAACAGTACTGCATAAATTTATCTCCCTCTTTCTTGACAGTTCTTTTATGCCATCTCTAGCAGTAAGTCCTCCAATGTCATTGTCCTGCTGTTAGCACAGATAATGGTAAGTTTATTGAGTTACCTTTATGTTTACAGCTGTGAAATATCAGAAATGTGCTTGATACTTTTAAGAATTTTAATAATTTCCTTTGTCCTGTTCCTCACTACATTCAGAGTCACTTCTGGATTAATTCATTTGACTTACAGGGCATGTACTTTGTCTCCTCTGTGCTGCTGATCCGAATGAGTATGCCTCTAGAATACCGCACCATCATCACTGAAGTCCTTGGAGAACTGCAGTTCAACTTCTATCACCGTTGGTTTGATGTGATCTTCCTGGTCAGCGCTCTCTCTAGCATACTTTTCCTCTACTTGGCTCACAAACAGGCACCAGAGAAGCATATGGCACCTTGAACTTAAGCCTACTACAGACTATTAGAGGCCAGTGGTTTCAAAATTTAGATCTAAGAGGGGGAAAAAATGGAACCAGGGCCTGACGTTTTATAAACAACAAAATGCTGTGGTAGCATTTTTCACCTCATAGCATACTGTTTCCCGGTCGGGTGACCATGAGTAGCATCAGCCAGAACATGAGAAGGAGAAGTAACTCAAGACAGTACTCAGCAGAGAGCGTCCCGTGTGGATTTGAGGCTGGTGCAAAGGCGGAGAGGAGCCAAGAAACTAAAGGGAAAAAATACACTGGAACGCTGGGGCAAGAGATATCTATGGTAGCTGGGCCAAACACATAGGATTTCCGTTTTAAGGTTCACATGGAGAAGGTTATAGCTTTCCCTTGAGATTGACTCATTAAAATCAGAGATTGTAACAAACACTTTGGCCTTAGGTTCCTTTCATCAAGCATAGCTTGGTGTTGTGCTTGTGTGATCTGACATGAGTTAGCATCCCACACCTCCTCATCTGAGCCTACCCCATTAAAATAACCAAGAAGTTATCTGTTCTTTCCCGGGAAAGGGGTAGTGTGCACCTGAAATAGATTCTACCAAAAGAGAGATTTCAGGTATGTCATTTTTTCTTGATTTCCTGTCAACTTAGTATTATACCCTACTTTCAATTCAGTAGTGATGTTTCCTTTTTTTTTTTTTCTATCTGCCCCTCACACTGTGGGGTGAAACCATGAATAACTTAACTGGGGGAATGAGTCACTTGTGAAAGGGAAATGTTGAAAAATTTTTAGAACATTCAGACATGCAATTTAAGAAAATTCTGAATTTTATTACTAAGGTCTTATTTTGTACTTAATGTGTTTTGGGTTTCTAGAAGCAAATGAAGGTTAAAGCATAAAAAGTGAATCCAAAACAAAAGCTCTATCAAGTGTACTCAGAAGGCATTTGTTAATGGTATTTATTCTAGCAACTACAACATTGTTACAAAAGCACAATTTTAATAGGCTTATCTGCTAAGATGCTTTAATAAGCAGCTATCACCTATACAGAGTTATGAATCATCTTTGGTGCTCAAGGAACCTGTAGAAGTAAGAGACATCATCATACAGAGAAATGTAGTTAAGTTGAAGCTTGGAAGAGATCACATGAAAAAAATCTAGCTCTTGCCTTATCTCTTCCTAAGTTAAGCATAAATTAGCAGTCTGCAATAGCCACCCGTAAGACCAGTCACACATGGTGAATGGTTTCCAGTGGAGTTTTTCTTCTAAAGAGACAGTAAACTGGTCGCAACTCATTCCTTGAGAAACGATTCCTATTAAATACCCAGAAATAGCTATCAAATAAACAGCCAACGCTATTACTTGTTTTCATCACATCTCTGTATCTTCAGAATTGGAAGAAGAATGTGAGGCTGTACTGTGGGCCTGTGTAAAAGAAAACAAAGAATTTACAAATGGTAGAGTAATGAAAAAGGGATGATCTATTCTAGAGTTGCATGACTTAAGTCAGGGAGTAGAGTCACTCACTAGAATTTCTTACTTTCACAGCATGCAGTTGACAGCAATTGTCTAGAGCTCATAAATCAAGAAGTAAAAAGTTTATCAGTATTGTAATGGGAACCCCCAGAAGAGCCTGAATCAGATGATCTAGGTATGACTAGAAGTCAGGTGACCTGAATTCTACACTTGACCGTTTTCAACTTGCTGTTTGACACATTAACAAATTCCTTAATGTCTGTATATATTTCTTTTTTATAAGACTAGGATATTGACTTCTTAAAAAGAAATTATAGAATTTTTAAATGACAACTAAAATAGTGTTTATTAAGCATTCCAGAATACAAATCAGTGGGCATTGTGTGTGTTCATTAAACTGAGTTTATTAAAATGAGTATTCACCAATTAGCAGAATGTAATGGAAAGAACAACAACATCAAATTAAACTTTTTTAGAGTCTTGGCTTTGCTATAAATTTCCTTTATGAATTTGGATAAGTCAGTTTACTTTTGGACCTCAAGTTCATCTATGAAAAATTGGGCAAAAATATGAAACTGAGACTTACCAAGAAGTTTAATCCAAATATATAGAGAATGCTTAATCTTTCCTAGTAATAAAACTGGAATACCTGTCAGTTATTTTAAACAATGTTGTCTATAAGCATCACCATTTACATGCTTACTATGAGCCAGCCACTATCCAAAGCACTTTAATATAGTTAATATAATCTTAGTTAACATAATCCTGATAACAGTCCTACAAATTATCCCCGTTTTATGGGTGGGAAAACTGAGGAACAGAACAAATAAATCCATTTCCCCGCAGCTGACAAATGACAGAACCAGAATTCATACATAGATCATCCAATTCAGGCTCTTCTGGGGGTTCCCATTACAATACTGATAAACTTTGTACCTCTTAATTTATTAGCTCTAGACAACTGCTGTCAGCTGCATGCTGTGAAAGTAAGAAATTTGTTGTCCTTGTACTGCCGCCTGTCCTCTACAACAACTTGATTTGTGAGTTATCTTTACATTGTCATTTTCTAGTTTTAAAAAAATCTGTGGCAAACAGACATTAAATATACTCATAGGGACTATACTCATACTCCAGTAAATTAGATCACGAAAAGAAATAGGCCCCCACTCACCCGTTCTTTTGCCATGTGCGAGTCATGCCCTGACTCCACCACTGTTCCTTCTTTAGAATCTGGAGGGGTGTCAAGTGTATCAGCCAGGGAGGAAACAATAGGGATTTTCTTAGCTTGGAAATAATCATAGGCCTTCTTTCCACAGACTAGAAGTGTGACATTCTTCCCACTGCTCTGGATTCTATCCACCACCTTCTCATAGGGTTCATCCAGCACATTCACCCCATTCACTTCAATGATGATATCTTCATCCTCTAGCCCAGCCAAGTCAGCAGGGCCGCCCTTCTGTACCTGTGAACAGAAGTTCTGAGTTATCAATTTCAAACACAGAGAAAGGGATGTCTGACTAGCTCTCCTTCAGAGGACAGATGAGGAGTTCAAGAATTTATTCTTAATCATGTTATTATTTCTCCTTGAGGTATAGAGTTGAAAAAGGTATTCTAATGCTTTTGTATTTATGAAGGCTGTAACTTCCATATTCACATGATTAGTGGTATTATAACTAGTGATTCAGTGTCACATGTCTTCTGGGATGAAGGGGGATAAATAGGTCCCCCTTCTTCACTCCCAACTTGAAAGCTATAGGGAGTCTTATCAGTCCCTACAGGGTAAGGGGCATTATGCCAAATGCACAGAAGCAAACAAGTATGACTGCCAATCAGGGTTGATAGTGACTGTCAGCTAGAGTTCAGTCAACTCACACTGTTTGGAACAGATGTTTGGGAAGCAAAAAACACGTGAACTTATGATGTACTGGTAGCTAACCTAAAGGGTATGGGACCATGACAACATTTATCTGAACCCAGGTGAGACCCCTCAGTGTGTGCCTTCAATGGAACCTCTCTACTAAGCCGTCAATGGGCGGGAAAAGCTGAGATTATCCTAATTGTGGCTGTGTTTGTTGGGCTGCTGGAACCAGATTACCATACCTCTTTGATGAATGAGCCTGGCAGACCCCGAATCGAATTTAAGTGAAAGCCATAGCCATTTTCACCTTTAGCCAGCCTGCAGAGTTTAGGCTTATAATCTACTTCCTCTGTAGTATCTGGTGGACTTGAGACTTCCAGAGAAGCGGGAGTAGGAGCTGGAGCCTCCTTGACAGAGCCATTGGGCAGTTCTTGACTTTGATAGTAGAGAAATGGAGAAAAATGAGCCTTTTGAAAAATAAAGGGAAAAAACATTAACTTAGTTGTAACCATGAGTAAGTTATACTTTGTTAAATGTGCTAATTTTTATGGTATCATACATATTCCACTGTTCTTCCGGATATGTCTGATTGTAGGCTGTAAAATTTCTCTACTTACCCCAACCAGGAAAGGTATAAAAGAAGATTGCGCTTCGTTGTGGAGTAATATGTGTATACATGTACACAAATGCACACATGAACATAAAAGCAGTATAGGATGCTGTACAAGGATCCAAAAAGATGTCTAAAAAATTGCTAATTTCTTTTGAGTTCATGATAGTGAGCAAGTCACTGAACAATCTATACATAATTCCCCTGTTGGGAAATGACACATCAGACTGACTAGCCCGGTACCTCATGCAAAGTACATTGTTCTGGCTTTTCCTTTCGGTAAGATGATCTTCAGAGCTCCTTAAACACATTCGAAAAATGTAAAACACAAGACACTTGTGATAGTTAATTTTAGGTGCCAACTTGACTGGATTAAGGAATACCTAGAAACCCAGTAAAGCATTATTTTGGTGTGTGTCCATGAGGGTGGTTCCAGAGGGGATTAGTGTGCAAGTCCGAGTGAACTACAGAAAAGGCAAAGGTGTCAGTCTGTCTGCTAGGGCTGGGATACACTCTTCCTCTCCTGTGCTTGGACATCAGAATTCCAGGTTCTCTGGCCTTTGGACTCTAAGATCTACAGCCACAGCCCCCCAGATTCTCAGGCCAAATGCACAGAAGCAATCAAGTAGGAATGCCAATCAGGGGTGACGCCAGTAAGTCAGATTTGGACGGAGCCGCACTCCTGGCATCCCAGGGTTTCAAGCTTGAAGACATCCTGTTGTGGGACTTCTTAGCCTCCATAAATTCCCCTAATTAATCTCCTCTCATGCCTGTATCTTTATATCCTACTAGATCTGTCTCTCTGGAGAATGTTAATATAACACTATTTTTATCACTATCCGAAGACTCAAAGCTACTAGAAGAGAACAACCCATATATACAGTAATCATTGGTGAGAGGGTGACAGCTATTATATGGTCACATATTGTAACAAAAGTTAATTCCAACCCTTTGCTGCTTGCCAACACCCTCCCCTTCCAGACCTGGGATCTGTGTGCTTATTTTACTATGTATTGTTGTAACCATTAGCTGTCACTTGTGTTATGCCAAACTCTCCAACATCTTTAAATACTCCTAATTCATATCAACTCCCAGACCATCCATGTGAAGAAATGATGGTCTTGAATACCGAAGAGGCATAGAACAGGACACAGGACTGATTTTTTGTAATAGAATTATGAGCCTAACTGGCTGTTTTAGTTGAGACAATTAGAGTGGACCTGGGTATGGTGTGATCCTGGATCAGCAGCAAAATGGCTGCCCACAAGTGTCGGGAACATTTGTTAGGCGATGAGTAGGAAATCAAGCAATGGAAGGTGAGCACAGTGTGGGCTCTACTTCAAATCGCACTGTTAGCAGCCTGACTAAAATTAGATTTTGAGTCCTCTGGTTATCATCTGTCTTACCACAAGACCACATCTCCTTCCTTTGTAAGTGAGAATACCACCAGCACGGAACCTCCTAGTTACCCAGTTCAACTAACTTCAGACCTTTTAGTCATATACTTGCAAGTTCCACAATGGAGTCTTTCCCCTCTTTAAAATATGGGAAATTATCAGGTGACTCATTACATACAAAAATAACGTGTGATGACACTACCTGAACAAGCAAATCAACTGCATCTGACAGTCGCAGCTCATCTCGAGGCAAAGTACAGTAACATCAAAACAATGAGATTTTGGCCGGGCTTGGTGGCTTATGCCTGAAATCCCAGCACTTTGGGAGTATGAGGTGGGCAGATCACTTGAGGTCAGGAGTTCGAGACCAGCCTGGCCAACATGGTGAACCCTCATCTCTACTAAAAATACAAAAATTAGCCAAGTGTGGTAGCAGGCACCTGTAGTCCCAGCTACTTGAGAGGCTGACGCAGGAGAATCACTTGAATGCAAGAGGCAGAGGTTCCAGTGAGCCAAGAACACACCATTGCACTCCAGCTTGGACAACAGCGAGAGACACTGTCTCAAAAAACAAACAAATATTGAGATTTTATTCATGCTTCATTCAGATAATTGGGTGTCTAGTATATGCCAGGGACTGCTAGAGGGTTGTGTTTTATTCACTCATGTATCTCAAAGATCCACCCTGTACCCCAACCTACAGGGCTTACTTTGGAGAGGGGGGAAGGAGAGAATGAGGGCAGGCCTCTTTTTAGATCAAAGTTCTGTATTAACCAAAACAGAAAAATTACAATTAAATTATTCTGTGATAAGATCAGGAGGGGTCGGAATCCCCTTTACAACAAACAGCTGCAGAGCCACCTCTGATTTCTGCTTGACTTTTTCTACCAACTGCGAAGTGACTTATCATTCCTGGCAGCTTCAGTTGGTTCTTAAGCCAAAAGCGAGCTCACTATGGCTTCTCTGGTCCTGCTCTGCCCCATAGGACACCTTTAAAAAACTGTGTAGGCCGGGCGCATTGGCTCATACCTGTAATCTCAGCAATTTGGGAGGCCGAGGCAGGTGGATCACGAGGTCAGGAGATCGAGACCATCCTGGCCGACATGGTAAAACCCCGTCTCTACTAAAATACAAAAAATTAGCTGGGCGTGGTGGTGCACACCTATAGTTCCAGCTACTCAGGAGGCTGAGGCAGGGGAATCGCTTGAACCCAGGAGAAAGAGATTGCAGTGAGCCGAGATGGCGCCGCTGCACTCCAGCCTGGTGACAGAGCAAGACTCCGTCTCAAAAAAAAAAAAAAAAGTGTGCTCCTTCTTACATGTAATAGCCTTTCAAATTCTTGAAGATGCTTTCGTCTCCAAAGCCTGACTGAAGCTAAATACTCACATGGTGGCTTCCAAAACCTCTTCCCTGGTTAACCTTGTTAATAGAGAACTTTGATCTAAAAAGAGGCCTGCCCTCATTCTCTCCTTCCCCTCTCTCCAAAGTAAGCCCTGTAGGTTGGGGTATAGGGTGGATCTTTGAGATACATGAGTGAATAAAACAACCCTCTAGCAGTTCCTGGCATATACACTTCTTAAAGTGAGGTTCTTGAAACTGGATACAATATTGATTTAACAAATAGAACATTTAGACGTGTGAGGCATTATTCTACATGCTCTAAATATTCCAATTCAACCCTCATAGCCACCCTTCACTGTAGCTACTACCCCGCTCTTAAAACTAAGGAAACTGAAGCACACCAGGAATTCAAGTATGGTCTGACCAAGTAAGTACGGTAAGATGGTCATCTCTAGAAGCCAAGTGTCAGTTAATTTTTAAATTGCCATTTTTGGATGGGGCAACTACTTGGAGTATCAAGTTTCTGATCTTTTTCTATAGTCCTCAATCAGGTCTCACCATGTGGTATTCATACAATTTACTTTTAGGTTAGCATAGTACACCTGAAATTTATTCTTATTTCTTTAGTTTTTATTCTTTCTATCCTGACTAAATATTTTGAGTATTAATTACACTCTCCAGCAAATGAATTATCTAGTACCACTCTAAGTATGTTAATATATTTTCCATATCTCCTTTCAACTTTAAACACAAACGGTTAGGAACAAGTAGCATGCCATTAGAGACTTCTATTCAAGTTGATATTCAGGTTGATATCAAGTATTTTCTAGGTATGATTGTTCAAGTAGTTAAAAAAAGCCATTAATCCAATTCATTGTTTAATCCTGCTTACAAGATTATCTTGAAATATCTCATGAAAATGTGCTGAGGAGGAGTATGGTATAATGGATTACAGGTCCAAGAATTTGGGTTCAAATACCGGCTTCAGTCTTTACTAAGCTGCGTGACTTTAGCAAAGCACTTAGTCTCTCTAAGCTTCAGTTTCCTAATCTATGATGAAGGCCTAATATATCACCACCCATCATATTCCCCCCTCTGTACCACTTATTTTATTTTAGATTCTACTATCATTGTGTATCACAGAGAACATTTATCTTGTTCATCTTTACGATCAGCACTTAGCAAGACAGATGGTACTTAGAAGGCCCCCCAGGTATCTGTTAAACTAGACTGAACCTCAGTTCTTGTGTTAAAAGTGTTAAAATAAAATAAAACCTTAAAACATGCAGTAGTAGATGTTACGATAAAGAGCTGTTAAGAGAAAAGTTAGTTTGATTCAGCTTGGTCTTGGTCTATCTGTGTTTCTCTTTGATTTGCTAAGGGTTTACAAGTTGTTTAATAATCCTTTCTAGGCTTTTATGTGCAGTTGATAGAACTTAACTGACCTAAAGCTTAAAATCTAATTGTTCCCTATTTGGGGAACAATTTTATTTCCAGGCTTATATTCTCCATAGATTTTCTCAGATCACCAAGAGTAAGTCTGCAGTTATATTCACAAATTGTTTCAAAATCTTAAGACCAAGGACTTAAAACCCATTTATCAATCATTTGGCATTCTCTTATCACTACCAATTTAAGTTGAGCTTCAGTTCAGCCTTAGTGATGATTGTTAGGCCTCTTCCAGTTTAAGGAACAAAGTCCTAACTTAGTGCAAAGGTTGAGGGCATGAGGGAATGGGCCCAGCCTTAATGCATGAATATATGGCCTTGTATTACTTACCAGTCTGTACATGTTGTCCGTCTCTTTGTCTACCACCAACAGTGAAGTCTGATCTCCACCCTTTCTAATCATTTCCACCACACTGTCATGATCCAGGGTTTCCACAGATTCGCCATTGACGGCAACTACCAGATCATTGTTCTTCAAGCCAGCCTCCTCTGCTGGACTTCCAGAATCTATGTCCTTGATGATTTGACCTGTCCTCCCCCCACCCCAAAAAATAAAATTATCAGTAAGTCCCTTAAAAAAAAAAAAAAAAGATTTTCTGCTGGAGCCTAAAGCCCTGATGAAATAGATGTAAAAAGCATGCTGAGTACAACCATAGTCCCTTCCACCAGCATCCCAGGAAGTTTCTAAGCACACAATCTAGGCTCATTTCCTGCTCAGAACTCGCTCCAGAAATTAACCCAGCCATTAACAATGAAGGGGTCTTAATGGAAATAATCATGTTACTAAAAGTGTCTGATATTCAATTTTGGCACAATAGCATATTAAAAGACTGTAAGTTCCCAGGAAGTCAGTGGGCGTACTTGTAGCCATTCTTCTTATGTAAAAGCTGTCATAAAGGACGGGAAAGAATAAAGAACAAAACCTAAAACTTTGGACCTTAAGAAACCCATGCTGGCATTTGAGTAGCAATTGGGTGTATTCAGTTGTGAATGTATTTGTATATACATGCCTCCATGTGCCTTTGGCCTTCTGGTATCTTTACCAGATGCTGCCAGAGCTCCTTTTTTTTTTTTTTTTAAACAAGCTCCTGTTTCCCTTTTCCAGCTAGTTGCTGGGTATCTCCAACAAAATATCTCATAGATCTCTCAACTGTAATGTATTCAAACCAAAAATCAGCTCTGCCCATTCTCCACCCCAAAGCCCCTCCTCTTGGTTACCTGTTAGTGGAGCAACATCCTCCTAGCCACCAACACTTGGCAACTGATTCTTCCCCAGCATCCAGTCCCCATATCTAGATGATTGTCAAGTCCTCTCATGCTACCCTAATATCTTACACATCCCACTTCCTCTACCCTGAATGCAGTTTGTGTTAGTTCCTGCCTAAAATTCTATGTAAACTATGACAGCACCTTCCTACTGCTCTCCCTTCCCCAATCAGTACAGATCGGCCTTCAGATCCATCTTGATGCACATTCTTAACCACGTCACTCCCTGGTGCAACAGAATGAGCATGGGCTTTGGAACTAAACAACTGTTTGGCCTTACATAATTACTGTATCTTCTCCAAGCCCTCAATTTCAGCAGTTCTTCCTGCATAATTGTTAGGAGTAATTGAGACATGCAAAGCCCCCAAGACATTATAGGCTGGTTTTTTCTTCTCCCTTATACTGCTCAAAAAATAACTCCCCATCATCTAATGAGCCAAGTCTAAACTCGTCAGTCTTGCATAGAAGTTCCCTTGTCACCTCTCTCCAGCCTACCCTTCCAACGAATTCTTGCACCACGCATCATGTGCCAATTAAACTGTGCCCATGTCTCCTGACAGTGTTCACATGACTCCCCCATTCCTGGAATGATCTTCCTTGTCCCAGCCCTGCCTACTTTCCCAAATCTATTCATGTTACAAAGCCTGAACTCAAGGACCACCCCTACTATGAGGGCTTCTGGTACCTTTTTAGTGAGAAAAGTTTACTCTAACCTTGAATTATCACAGCGCTTAATCTGCCCCTGTATGAAGGTACTTAACCTCTATCTCCCTTCATTGTGGACATAAGTCCCTTATCTCTTATCTACTAAATGGTAGCCTCCTTGACTAAAGAACTCCTGTCTGATTCATGTGATATTCTTTCTCCAAGGCACTGAGGATGTTTTTACAAAACACAAACCAAATTAATATTTGATAAATTAATGTAAACATAAAGTGAAAAGAATATAACAACTTATGGGTGAATAACAGTTTATACGGCCTGAACTCATGTTCTTTTATGTATTTACCTTCCCTGAAAGAACCTAGTGTTTTTCCTGTTAAGTTGCAAAGAAGGAGGACTCCTGGTTCTGAGTCCCAGATCCTCACCCACACCTCGGCCTCAGGTCCAGCGGTGTGAGAACGGGCAGAGCTATACTGGCTCACAAAAGCCAATTCTGTGCAACACTTCGTTGTGTTCAGTGACATCACGTTAGTAAGTTGAAATTGGACATGGGAGGAGTATTTACATCACAAAAACCAACAAATGCTACCAATTTGTATTCCACCACCACCCCCGCCCTCCCGCCAGAGAGCCAGCTTACCAGGATACCATTGCCCAGATCCCAAATTCTGCCTTATCATAATGCTATGGAAACTTTAGATGCCCAACATCAGAGCCTCATGTGACATAGACTCTGACCCAGCTGTGCCTTCTAGTTTCTTGCTGTGCCCCTCATGCATCTGGTTGGAAGTTGGGAGCCTAATGGAACTCTGGAGTCAGACTGGGATGAGGAATTTGTTGGTTACACTGCCAAGTTTCCTGCTGTTGTACCTTACCTTTCTGTTCTGAGCCTGCCCTCAGATAGAAACCATAACCATTGCTTCCTTTCTTCATCTCCACAATTCGGGGCTGGTGGGGTAACAGTTTCAAACTGGCCATTTCTCTTTTGAATTGTATCTTCTGCTCAAGGTGACGCTTGTCAGTCTCTTTGTCCACTAGCAGGAACATGACACGGCTTCCTGACTTCTTCACCTGTAACAACACACACAGATGAGGAACAACATCAACCCCCAAGAACAGTGCTGGGGGATAGGAACGTTTCTGTATAAAGGCACACAGTCTCTAGGTTCAACAAAAGATGGGGGATGGAAGGCCTGAGTTTAAGCTGTTACACTATGTCCTGCCAGCTAACTGATACGTATCTATCTCCACTTCTAGAGTTGTTTTCCCTTATTTAAGTATGACCCACCCACATAGGTACTAACTGAGCCCAAGTAGGAGCTGGAATTCAGAAAACCCATAAAGGTACCTAGATAAAAGCTAGAACAGGAGTTTGGAAAAGAAAAGAAAGTAAGAGTCCACGTCAAAAAATCATTCTACAAAGAGAAGAGAAGGTTGGTCAATTTTTAAGGTTCCATATGACCTCAAAGGAAAATCTCAGTTATATCCCACTTCCTATTAAAGCATTTCAGTATTATCGGCTCAACAGTGAATTTATTGTAAATTCAGAGGGCACAGTGACACACGCCCATAATCCCAGACTTTGGGAGGCCAAGGCGGGCAGATCACTTGAGTCAGGAGTTCAAGACCAGCCTGGCCAACATAGTGAGACCCTGTCTCAACAAAAAAAAAAAAAAATACAAAAATTAGCCAGGCGCAGTGGTGCACACCTGTAATCCCAGCTACTCAGGAAGCTGAGGTGGAAGAATCATCTGAGCCCAGGAGGCCGAGACTACAATGAGCTGAGATGGTGCCACTACACTCCAGCCTGGGTAACACAGTGAGACCCTCAATCAGACAGTTCAGAGGGGGCTCCCAATCCGATACAAACAAGATCCAAAAGGTAAGGTTAATAGTTTTGTAGACCTTATGTGAAATTAGGGAAGGCTTTATTCCAAAACCTGTATTAACACTGCTTATACCACTAGTGAGAGTCTGTTCACCCTTAATATGAAGGGGCAACTCAGCTGGATATTTTTTCCATCATAAACTCATGCTGTCCCCTACCACCCCTGTCTTTCTGTCACCTCCAATGAGAATAGAGTGGAAGATAGGGCAAGAAAAGTACCCTTTGGGGCATACCTTTTCAACCACTTCCTCGTGGCTGGCATCCTCTACATTCTCTCCATTCACTTCAATCAAGTGATCGTCAGCCAGAACTCCAGCTTTCATAGCCACACCTTGAGGTGTAATATCAGTCATGTACACCCCCTTTTTACCTGGAAGAGAGTAGGGGTGAACTCCATGTGGAGACAAAAGTGACTCCCTCTTGGATGGTAATCTGCGATGTTGACTTCTGATTAGCCCCAGTCCTGTGAATGCCTCCTGATTCCTACTTCATTTACTGTCCCTAGTGTAAGAACATGTCAACCTTAATGTTACCACACAAATTACAGGCCATGATGCATATAGCATTCTTGGCTATTGCAGACGGCTGCCTTCGATTGCCTTGCTGGAGCACATATACCCTTTCCTTATGGCATATCAGCCTTGGGTCTGGGGAGTAACACTGCAGAGATCTACATGTTTTGTGGCTGTCCAAGACCATGCTTCTGTTCATAAGTTCCCCTGATAAATTCCAATGTACCTACACACTGGATTTGCCTGCCTTGTTCTTTGGTTTCTGAGCTCCTTCAGCATTCGAGGACTGCTTTGCATACACCACCTTTTCATAGAACACTCCATTGCACACACACACACACACACACACACACACACACACAAATCCAATGGTAAAGACTTTTCTCCCAATAATGTGAAACAAGAACTTCCAATTTCAGAGCTAACTCAAACAGCCTTTGGCTTCTGATCTAAAATCACAGTTATAGCTCCTGGCACAGAACTTGACACAGCCTTTACTCAGTGGGTATTTGTTGATTTGAATAGAATTTCTGAGGTCAGCTAAATGCAAAGATGGAATCTTGGGTGGCCTTGGCCCCTTGTACCAGAAAGCGCGAAACCATACCCACACTGCATTATTGTGTCTATATGCCCTTTCTTTGCATTTGTAGAATCAGAAAGCATCTTTCCCATTCCCTCCTCTTTAGTTTGTACTATTAGCCATCGTATGCTGATGGAGTCATCTCACCAATGTAGGCTAACAAGGACAGGCACAGGAGGGAGGGAAGAACATGAATGCATTTAGGTGGTGATATTTAGGTGCTACTTACAGAAATGCTGTCAATTCTTCAAAGATATTAATAGAGCAGTTCCCCCTTAACCATGGAAGATTCATTCCAAGACCCCCAGTGGAAGACTGAAACTTTAGATAGTATTCTGAACCCTGTATGTTTTTTTTTTCCTGTGCATACATACTTATGATAGAGTTTAACTTATAAATTAGGCACAATAAGAGATTAGCAATAACTGAGCTAATCTTAGCAACCTCAGCATACAATATTTTTTCTTATTAAATCAAGAACTTTTCACTTAATAGAAGCGCTTTACAGCCTTTTTGTTTGTTTGTTTTAACAGATGGGGTCTCGCTCTGTCACCTAGTCTGGAGTCTAGGGGCACAATCTTGGCTCACTGCAACCTCTGCTTCCCCGGTTCAAGCGATTCTCCTGCCTCGGTCTCTCAAGTAGCTGGGACTACAGGTGCCTGCCACTGCACCTGGCTGATTTTTGTATTTTTAGTAGAGATGGGGTTTCGCTATGTTGGCCAGGCTGGTCTCGAACTCCTGACTCCTGACCTCAGGTGATCCGTCTGCCTCGGACTCTCAAAATGCTAGTATTACAGGCATGAGCCACTATGCCTGGCCACATTACAGCTTCTCTTTGTCATATCTGAACTGCCAGCATCACAACTGTTGCATTTTGGGTTTTTTTTTTTTTTTTTTTTTTTGAGACAGAGTCTCACTTTGTCACCCAGGCTGGAGTGCAGTGGCGCAATCTTGGCTCACTGCGAGCTCCGCCTCCCGGGTTCACGCCATTCTCCTGCCTCAGCCTCCAAGTAGCCGGGACTACAGGCGCCTGCCACCATGCCCAGCTAATTTTTTGTGTTTTTAGTAGAGACAGGGTTTCACCGTGTTAGCCAGGATGGTCTCCATCTCCTGATCTCGTGATCCACCTGCCTCGGCCTCCCAAAGTACTGGGATTACAGGCGTGAGCCACTGCGCCCGGCCTGGGCTATTATTTTTTATTGATACATAACATTTGTACATATTTGTAGGGTGTGTGTCGTATTTTGATACCAAGAGCATATATGAACAAATCGTGGTATAATATTTAGGACATCCATCCTTGAACATTTATCATTTCTTTGTGTTGAGAATATTTCAAATCTTCTTACAACTGTTTTCAAATGTGCAATACATTGTTGTTAACTATAGTCACCCCACTTTGCTATCAAACATTAGAACTTATTCTCTCTTTGTGTTTGTACCCATTAACCTAGCTTTCTTCATCCCTGCCCTACCCCACATACACTCTTCCCAGCCTCTGGTATCTCTCATTCTACTCTCTACCTCCTTGAGATTCACCTTTTTTAGCTCCCACATATGAGAACATGTGATATTTTTCTTTCTGTGCTGGGCCATTATTAAGCAAAATAAGGATTATTTGAACACAGTACTTTAATACTGCAACAGTTGACCTGATAACTGAGTAGTAAGTAGTAAGACTAACAGGCAAATAAGCACATACCACACGGAGATGCTAGACAAACAGAGGATTCATGTCCAAGACGGGGCAGAACAGCACAAGATTTCATTACCCTACTCATAATGGTTCACAATGCAAACATTATGTATGGAATTCTCCATTTAATATTTTCAGACCACAGTTGCCTGCAGGTAAGATAACTGAAACTATGGAAAGCAAAACAGGATAAGGGGGGACTCCTGTATTTCAACCTAGGCAAGGGATCGCTTGCTAATGACTACATAAATCACTTGTAAGGAATGACAGTAACTTAAATTCTGCTTCCTTAAACATTCAGCATTTCTCCTGCCACCTTGTTATGTATTTGTCATGAAGAAACCATTTTCCTCATAAAGCTAACCTAAACTGCTCACCGTGTGCGTTAGCACACGAGCCAGATGAGTAGAATCTGAATTATGATTTTCTCTTTTTTTACCACTTTACTGATAATAGTGCCAAGCTTCCTTTGACTACCCACACCACTGTGTTTAATAGCTGACCAACCTGAGAAATGCCCCTTATTGCGAGTTTCCATCTCTTGGTACAGGTTAAATAAGCCTTATAAACTATTGTGAATTTACCACTGGTCTGCTGCTGTACCACTTGCCAAATCATGACCTACGACCAGTGCTTCTCCAGCCCCAGAAAGAATGTGGGCAGAGGCAACATTCAAGAAGGAACCGACCAGCTAACACAGCCCCTCTGGTTCCAACCAATACCCCCAGAGCCATGGTCAACTGAACACAGGTTAGTCTGCACCTCTGAAATTCTAGAAACAGAACTTCTAGTGCTTCCTGATGGTCAGGGTTTCTCAAATCACTCTGTACCTCTTAGCCAGAGCTCAAAGATGCACCTCAGAACAGGTGGGGCTGAGCCACAGCTGAGGATACTATCAAAATGTTACAGGAGGGTGGAGATTTTTGCAGTATTCTCAGCAAAGGTAACAGTGCCTGGCACATCAGTAGGTGCTCAAGAATTTGTTGAATAAATGAATGACTATCTGGGCACCCAGATTAAAAAAAGACACCAATCTTTCTCAAAAGTAGCTATTATGAAGAATCTCATTTTTCTTGCCTCTTATTCCTCATTCTCCCCTTCATTTTCCCCCTAAGAGGGCTAGAAGCATCAATGCTCTGACCCCCTGACCTCAAAGAGTCCTCAAGTGTCAGCCTGACAAACACTCAGGGACAGGAGTGCCCAGTGCCCCCCACCCCCACTGCTGTCCAGTGTCCCTCCCCGATTGCACAACTGTGCAAGGCAAGGGAAAGGGCAGGGAGGGAGGGAGGGAGAGAGGGAGGGAGGAAAGCTGTTGCAAGCTATCTAAAGCAACTGAAAAAGAAGAAAAGTCATTAACCAATAGCATCTTTGTTCTGGAAGCCTGTTGTCTGTGCCCTCCCCCTGCCTCCCCCCACTCCCCCAAAAAATTCTCACCTTGGACAGTTTTCAGAGAGAAGCCATAGCTGCCTCCCTGCTTCACGAGGTAGCAGAGCCGGGGCTGGGTCCAAGTTTGCACGCCTCCATTCATCACAGGGGAAAGTGTATTATCACTCAAACCTTGCTCCTTCTGACTTTGACCCAACTCTTTCAAGTCCACCTGTGTTTTCATTGCTTTCTCATAGGAATCCCCATCCAGAACTAGTAAAGTCACTGAATTCCCACTCTTTCTGACCAGATCCACAACCTAGGAGGGAAGAAGAAAAAAATAACTTTAATAACCCTCTATCAACTGCCAGAGGGAAATGCTGACCATGTGGCTCCATATCTGGCCCTGGAGATCCTGCTAGTTGACCCCTGACACCCAAGTAGAAGCAGGTAGTTCCTCAGCCACCTCCATCCCTGCCCTCCCGAGATCCAGGTGCAGATTAGGCTGAGCTTCTGGCACTGCTGGAATATAAAGCATGGTCCAACCCCAGCCCAGAGGCTTCTTACAAGGACTGCCCCTTTCTAGAGAGGAGCGCTGCCCTGGATTGTAACCGTACCTCCTGAGTGCATGGCGACAGCACAGTGTAAGGAAAAGAGCATGCTTTTGGAGTCAGGCAGAATAGGGTAAGGCCAGACTCTCCCATATATCCTCTGCATGAACATGTTAGCAAGCTAAGTTATCTGTACTTAGCTTCCTAATCTGTGAGATTGTAACATATACCTCACAAGGTCATGAGGAGGACTTAACAAGATAATGAATATAAAATTGCCTAGCACCATTTTTGGTATGTAGTGAACATGCAATTCACGTTAGACCTGATGCTATTCAAATCCAAGAGTAATGTGTACAGTTCTTGGTTCCTCATAGGGGACTTGATTGGCCAACATAAGGTACAGCAATAAAGGTGTCCTGCCTTGCCAGTGGCAGCCAGAAAAGAACCAAACTCTACCAACCCCCAAAATTATAATCAGCAGAGATGATGTTGGGGCTGAAGAGATCCTGGAAGAGGAGCCCCAAATGTCTCATTCACCTGCGTATGTTCTTCTTTGTCCACAAAGACACCATTGATCCTAAGAACTCGGTCTCCATCCTGAAGGCCAGCCTTCTCTGCTGGGCTACCCTTCTCAACCACCCGGACCAGGTGGCCCTCGGTGTCCTTCTCAATTCGCAGGAAGAAGCCATAGTTTTGCCCTTCTTGCTTGGACAGTTTACATTCTCGGGGGTTGAAGGTGGAGGTCATTTCTGTGATGAAAAAAAATTAATAAATCCATGGAAAGGAGAAACTAATTGGAGTGAGAACCCCATCCTCCATCTCCTATAATTCTATTTTCCAATCACCAAATCTAGACTGCTTGGGTACACGCTGGGGGCACAGGAGGACACCTTCCAGAACTTGCTAATGATTTCCAAATCTGTTTCCCCAAGGACAACCTTTTTACTAGAGTTTCAGACCCACATATTTTACTGGGTACTGGGTACAGATGCTGCCATTTCAGTATCTCCAACCAAACTCCTCTTTGTCCTCTGACCTAAAGAAATTAAATCCAAATATATGAACCCAAAACTTTATGACAAGCCCACTCTCATTCAAACATTTGAAGAGCTTTTCAAGTTCAAGGAATCAGGGCTAAATCTGTAGACAAGCCGGACCCATACCTTGCCTCTCCTATTGGGGAACATAGTTACATTCCCATAACCACACGTGGTGAGTGTCGTGCTGGGGAAGAACGCAGTGATAAGGGGGAGAATAACAAAGGGTCTTGGGAATAGGGAGCGGGATGGGAAGAATTAAGAAACCTTCCTGAAGGAATGACACTTCCAAGAACTGAAGGATTAGTAGAAGCTTGGTGAGGTAGGACACGACAAGGAAGAGCTTAAACCATTAAAAAAGGCAGGCGCAGTGGCTCACTCCTATAATCCCAGCACTTTGGGAGGCCAAGGCGGGCAGATCACAAGGTCAGCAGTTTGAGACCAGCCTGGCCAATATGGTGAAACCCCATCTCTACTAAAAATACAAAAATTAGCTGGGCATGGTGGCGGGCGCCTGTAGTCCCAGCTACTCAGGAGGCTGAGGCAGGAGAATCACTTTAACCCGGGAGGGGGAGATTGCAGTGAGCCAAGATCATGCTACTGCACTCCAGCCTGGGCAACAGACTGAGACTCTGACTCAAAAAAAAAAAAAAAGGCAGAGACACCAGGCCTTGGAGGTTGTCCAATATGTTGAAGATGCCCTAGAAAAGACTGTTTCAGCCCCTGAAGTCTCTAGCCAGAGCAGAGCAGAGATGCCCCATAGAAAAGAGATTCCTGTGGCTAGGTCGGGGCTCTCCCTCCCAAATGCTTTGTCACCCAGGCTGGAGTGCAGTGGCGCAATCGCCGCTCACTGCAGCCTCGAACTCCTGGGCTTAGGCAATCCTCCCACCTCAGCCTCCTGAATAGCTGGAGCTACAGGTGCATACCACTATGCCCTGCTAACTAATTTTTTTTTGACAGTGTCTCCCTTTTTTGCCCAGGCTGGTCTCAAACTCCTGGGCTCCAGCGATCGTCATGCTTCAGGCTCCCAAAGTGCTGGAATTACAGACACGAGCCACCATGCCTGGCCTGAAGCAGCTCCTATTTCCATTCATCCTGCCCCTCCTGTTGCCCCATTGCAGGGGCAAGGTCCTGAGCCATAGGAGGAAGACAGGACAAGTGTAAAACCACAGCTGGGGTTCCAACACCCAGTTATGATTAAGGGAAAGACTTCTGCCAGTGCCGCCGACACCTGCTGGCTGAAAGCTTTTTCTTTTATAGGAGAATAAGAACAGGGGCCAGAACAGCAACAGGCTGATACAGAAGGCAGAAGGCTCACGAGAGAGCCCTGGAGTCTGCTCTTCACACAACCTGCAGGGCAAGCCCTCAAGTTCCTCTCGTCACAGTTCCCTACCTACAAATCAGAATAAACCACCTATCCCTTCCCTCCTGGAGGGACAAGAACAGATGACCATACAGGATATGGGGGAGGGTGGAGAATAGGCCACAAAGTACTCCATGCACCCTAGAAGCCAGGCCGTGGTGATTGAAGATAGCCATCCCTGACCATGCCCACAGAGACGTACAGTACAAATCGGACAGAAAGCCCTCGACTGCCCAATACCAGGCCTCTCACGCAGTCTCCGCAAAGTCGGAAGCCCATGCTGCCAGTGGCACAAGTGACTAAGCAGCCATGAAAGAAACAAACAAATAGACTCCCCATCGAGCATCAAGGCAAGAAAACAGCGAAGCCACACTCACCAGTGGTCAACACCAGCCCCTTGGGAGAGCCAGGCAGCTCTGCCTTATCAAAAGCCAGGACCAGCTGCCAGGAAAACACCACTCTGGGATGAAAGGAGAAAATATGGCATCACCAGAGTTGAGTCACATCCAGGCACCTGTTTGTGGCCCATTCCAGCTCCCTCACCTTTCACTCCTCTTTCTGCTGATCCCAACCTGCGAGCATCAGTTTAGTTTCAGCTTGATTTCACATCTACGTCCAAGCTCACCTGTAGATCCCTACACCTTTCCATTTCATAGGGCCAAAAGACCTCAAAAGAAAAAGAATCAGAAAAGAAAGACGAGGTCTCAATGTCCTTTACGGGGAGGACCAGACAATAATTACATAAATGAATAAGATCATTTCAGATAATGATACTTGCTGTGAAGAAAATAGAATGTCAAACAAAACATGCGAAGCCCTCTTAAACTTGAGGGTAATTATTGGAGAACCTTATTCAAATCCTACACAATTTAAAATATGTCCTTACAATCTGAATAAGGACAACAGATACTATGTTTTCATCAGGAGATGAGGCTGTTCGTGATCAGCATGTGAATGCTTATTTCTAAGGCACTCACACCCAAGATTCAGCAATCTCACGCCCTGCAGAGTCAACCACAAACTCTTAATCTCTTTGTTTGTAGGCCAAGAATAGAAAGTGAAACCTCCTCACTAGGAGAACCAGCCCTGTGTTTGGAGAGAGGGAAAGAGACAAAGGTTTTCCTATGTCTCACTGGAGACCTGTGAGCCTGACACACAAGGAAACACAAATCACTGTTTCTTGGCAGAATCTCAAGTTGACATTTTTGTTTGGAGTTTTCAAACAGCCAGATGGTGATCGCTCAGATCTGCACCTATGGCTCTGAAGCCTCAAGCATTCAGGGTCAGTTTCTTTTTTGGCTGTTTGAAGCCAGAAAATCAAAGCCACTTTATACCGATAGGGAAATGCTACCATACTGGTGGGGAAACAGCTACTGCTGCAAGCCCCCGACTGCCTCCTGCCACTATGTGCTCCCCACCACACAGCCATTAATGGATTGACGCTGTGTCCATCGATCTGCCATGTACCCAGGCCAGACTGATTAAATATTTACACCCCCAGCTGCACCAATGGGGAAAGCAGACCCAAACCTCAAAAGCCTGGTCTTACATGGGACCCTAAAACTATTTGTTTCCTTTGCCATCTTGCAAAAAGAGGATTCATCTAGGAGCCAAGAGAGCTGGGCTCTGGTCCACCTCCAGGCCTGGTTCTGTCTAGGCCACATCCTGGTGTTACTCTGGCCCCTAATTCAGAGCTGGGGTATGTGTCTTTCGCAAGACTCTGTCATTGCTCCATGATAAGGATGCCTGGGCCTCTGGAACACAGGGCCGAATTAGGAAGGATCTTTGTATTTAAGGATACTCTTTCCTACTTCTTCAACCCCACCTCATCTTCTGCCTCCTGAGAAAATCTGGAGATCAGACCCCTCTGGTGGATAGACACAGAAGAAGTGAAGGCCTGTGGATTTCTAGACTATCATTAGCAGCAATCATCTGAAGCTGGAGTCCATTAAATCCAGCAGGCTTTGTTCCCCAGGTCAAACAGCCAAAATACATGGTGGCACACACCTTTAGTCCCAGCTACTCAGGAGGCTTAGGTGGGAGGATGGCTTGAACCTGGATGCAGAGGTTGCTGTGAGCCGAGATCACACCACTGCACTCCACTCCAGCCTGGGCAAGAGAATGAGACCCTGTCTCCAAAAAAAAAAAAAAAAAAAAACTGGAGATGAAAGAAAGCTAGAACCATTCCTGAGCTCTGGGGGAAAAACCAATAGTTGACAACAAAGTTGTTTGTCTGTGGGAACGAGAACGAAGTGCTGGCTGGCAGACAGGAACCACTCGGGGGTGAGAGCCAGTGAGATTTTTTTTCCACCAATTTTATTGATGAAAAAGCTAATTATACCATTAACTTTGCTTTTTTCCCAAATGATTAGATTATTGCTGCCAGGGAAGAGAATAATGTGGCCACAGTCAAGAAGAAACATTAGATAGCTTTTAGAAGTTAGGAAGGCTTGGTAATGACCATGAAAAGGAGAGTGGTATGACCTCCGGATGTGGCAGACTAGAAAGAACTAAAGCCACTGGTCTATTTTCCATAGGAAAGAAATAGCTGGTGGGACCTAGGTGACTTCTTCCAAGCCCAAGGCAGGCCAAGGGCTCTCAGCCCCCAGACAGCCATCAACAGAATTCATATATGAGATCCTTAGCACCACCCTCACCAACTACTCTGCACAGAAAGCTGGAAATCTGACCTGGGAGCTGTTCCTGAGCACTCTTCATGTAACTCCTATAAGCTTCCAGGTGTTATTTTGAAAAGAAATTCTGGGCCGGGCGTGATGGCTCACACCTGCAATCCCAGGACTTAAGGAGGCCAAGGTGGGTGGATCACCTGAGGTCCGGAGTTAGAGACCAGCCTGGCAAACATGGTGAAACCCCATCTCTACTAAAAATACAAAAATTAGCTGGGCATGGTGGTGCACACCTGTAATCCCAACTACTCGGGAGGCTGGGAATCGCTTGAACCTGGGAGCCAGAGGTTGCAGTGAGCCGAAATCGTGCCAGTGCACTCCAGCCTGGGCGACAGAGTGAGACTCCATCTCAATTAAAAAAAAAAAAAAAAAAGGAAGGAAGAAAGAAAAGGAATTCTGGGCTGGGCACAGTGGCTCACGCCTGTAATTCTAGCACTTTGGGAGCCAAGGCAAGCGGATCATGAGGTCAGGAGATTGAAACCATCCTGGTCAACATGGTGAAACCCTGTCTCTATTAAAATTAAAAAAAAAAAGTTAGCTGGGTGTGGTGGCGCATGAGGCAGGAGAATCGCTTAAACCTGGGAGGCGGAGCTTGCAGTGAGCTGAGATCGTGCCACTGCACTCCAGCCTGGTGATAGAGTGAGACTCCGTCTCAAGAAAAA